GGCTACTGCTTTTTTTTTTTTTTTTGTCCTCTAGACGCTGTAAATTTTTGTGTGGTCGTAAAGGCCTTTTGTTGGAAGGCTTCCTCTCCTCTCTCGGCCCCCCAGGTCGGCTTTTTGAACCCTTTTTTTTTTCCCTGTAAGGCCACCTCCAAATCCAAAGGCAACCCGAGCATCCCATCTCAACTTTTGATCCGTACATAACCACCAACCGATCAAAATCTTCCAATAACTCAATGCCGTTAAGCTTGCTAAAACTTTGTTTGCATTTCGTGCTCACATCCTCAATTTAAACTTAATTAAAATTTTAAATAAATATATAGTGAATTTCAAATTAAAATTTAATTTTATATTTTAAAAAAATTTAAATAAAAAACTATTATAAATTACATAAATAATTAAAACTGATTCCTAATAAAAATGCAACACAGTTCTTAAATACCAGTGTCGAACAATGGCTTGAATACACTTCACCCAAGCGGTGAGACACCTAAACGACATCAATTAGGTAATATGCTCTTTATGAATGACGAACCCTACGGCTCACAAGAAGAAAAGAGATTTTTAAGGGAAGCCGTGAAAATTTAGGGTTTATTTATTTAATTTCATATCAATGCTGAAGATGGTTACCAAGGGTAGTCGGGACATGACCGGTTCTGAAGTACAAGATCATGCCTTGATCACCGGAATTTCAAGCATCTCTGATTATAGCTCCTACTGTCATTTGCTAGCAGTTTATTCTATGGAAAATTAAACGTAATTCGGAAAACCAAACCAAACAAAAAAAAAAAAAAAATACAGATTTAGCAGAAAGAAAAAGAAATAGCAGGAGAGAAAGGTAAAGGCATGGGACAAGTTAGACGTTTATATTGGAATCTGAGTCTACTTTTATTAATTGTCTTCTGTTTGGATCCGGTTTCATTCTGTATTTACTGGAATTATGTGATATATAAAGCATTTAAAGCAATGTGAGAAAGGAAAACAAAACGAGAAGGAAGAGAAACTTTACATTTTGTGACACAGATGAACAAACATACTTGAGAAACTTGGTCACCCGATCAGGCTGGAATCTACGAGAAAGCCAAAGTTATTGTGGCAGCTAATTAACTTGCTTGGTTTCCTTACTGTCTACAGCTTACCTTTCGGGAGTGACGATATACCAGAAGCTTACCATCATCGCCACCAATACCCAACACACCTGGTTCCGAATCATCATCATCGGTTGCAATGCACGAAATAATGCTCCCTGATATCAGTTTTAAGTCACAATAATCTCTCATCAGATGTAAATTGGCTATAGATTGAACTTTTTACATTTGTAAAAATCTGCATTGAATTTTTATTTTTGATATTTTTGTGTTTAACCAATTAAAATATATGTAACTAATGAAAATTTTAAAAAATTGCAAAACCAGAGTGCTAATGTGATCTTAAAACCTAAAATGGTCTTTTTGCAGCTATATAAAGTGTAACCCTATGTTTAGAATAAATAAAGTACTGTGTAAAATTTGTTACGAGTTCACACTATTTCAAGTATAAGATGATAAAGAGGGATGGTCAAAAAGATGAAAAGATTGAATTCTTATAACATTTCATGTAAATTAAAACAATATATTCTATATTTTATTTTTTCTAGAAACTATACTACTTTTCATTTGAATTTAATTTGTCATTTAGTGTAAGTTACAACATCTCCTAATTGAATTAAATATAAATTTGTAAATAAATTCTATAACTTCTACTAATTGAATTAAGTGTAAATTTGTAAATGAATTTCATAATACTTCTAAATTTTTGTTATATAGCCTAAATTTTTGTTATCAAATTTTAATAGAATTTTGCTCATTGTAGTTAAACTATGTCTAAATTTCATAATATATTCTACTCTTTTACATCAATGCAAATTCTTAGATGCAAACTGGATTGATTGATAGTGTTGTTGATAAGCGTTCATCTTAATGCCATGTTGCAATATAATCTTCAAATATTTGAGTACCAAAGTGAGAGACAGACAATCGGATTTAACTCATAAAGCAATTAAAAGGTCATCTACCTCTTCCCTTCCCTCACCCCCTTCAAAAAAAATTACTATATGATATACATCTATATGTGTGTGCATGCACATATTTACTTATGTTCACAACTATTTCGATACCCATAATTTAAAATTTATGTTATAGAAACTCATTCGCAAGTATTCTATACAGATTTAAGTGTTTGATTTGATAATGTTCATAATTAAAAATCCACAGACCCGATCAATAAGAGTTCACAGATAAAATACAAATACTTAAATACATTTAATTTAAAAATTAAGAAATTAATATAAACTTGTAGAAAATTATAATGAAGTCATGTACATAACAAAATGCAGTTTTTTGCACAAAAAATAATAATTTTATATTTAAAGTTAAATAAATAATACTAACTAATAATCTACAATCAATTAAGAATTTATTATTATTAAAATTTAGACATTCAAGAATATGTATTTCTATTGTGTGTTGTTTTCAAGTTTTCAATTTCTACTATAAGAGTCTTTTCCGTGGTCTTTGTATTATTACATATTATTACCTCTAGTTTTAGATCTCACATTCACAAGATGTGCTGGACTGCATATCATACCCATTCCAATATCGTGTGTAGACACACTAAAATAATAAGTCTGAGCACTATCATATGATAAAAAATACAAAATGAATGCAAATGGATATAAATGAAATAATGCTTCTAAATCATGAAACAGAGTATCAATTGAAATCTGCACAATGACTTAGTCATACCTTTGAAATCATGCAGAGTGCCAAGTCTTGTTCCAGTGGACAATTCCCACATGTAGACAAGTCCATCTTGCGTGCCGATGATCCCATGACCAGATGATGCACTAGCGACAATAGCACTGCACAGAGTTCCACAACTAATACTTTTAAGTGAAGTTTAAAAAAGCATGTCCACAACAGCCAAGCTTAATTAGAACAAATATACACCATTGGCTGGTATCAATTCGTACCATCACTGCAAAAATGTGATGCATTTATCATTATTGTTTAGCACTCTTAAAGTCTAATACGAAATTTGTTTCAACTGATTCATCCCGTTATTATACCAGCAATTTATTTTGGATTAGACAAGCGCATGACAGCCAGTGAAGTTATTATGATGTCCATTTCATATCCCGTGTAAATTTGCATATTTCTTAGCACTCATCACTAGTATATAGAGCACTAAACCAATGGTAAGACCAATAGGTGACTGACTGCAAGCATATAAACAGATTGATCAACTGCTACTGAAAAAGAAGTAAAGGAGAACAGTATGAAGTAAGTCCTCGATGCTAAGAAATTGAAAACCCTATTTAGTAAGTATGAAAAGAAATTAAACGCACCTGGGATCCAGTGCACTTCCAAAGATCACCACATCTTTCACCAACAAAGCTAGCCTCCAGCACCTGGCAGGATCTGTTTGCCAGGGGCTTGATATACAGTTTTGTTGGGCATCAGGGTCAGAGGGAGTACAGACAAGAAGCCAAATGGCAATATCTTCTCCATCAGTTGGCATTATGGCAGAATTTTCATGAAACTCTGAAAACCACATTTTTGTGGCAACCATTATTCCATCAACATTTCCCTTAATAGCAGAGTGACTGAAAGCAGGGTGCCAGCTAAATAAACTGACTGGAAAGAACTGATAAACTGAAGTGCATTGAGTGGAAAATGTTGACACCAAGACTCGTTTTGAAATATCCCTGAAAGAAACAAACCTGCATTCTATTACTTAACTTATCGGAGAGAGGTAAAATCAATAGAATGATAAATAATTGAATGAAGAAAAAAAAAAGGAGTAAAGAAAACAACGAATGGCATGAGAAAGCAAGACTATCAAAGAGCTTAGTGCATTAGTGCATTTTACTCATTAGAACATGAAAGAGAAGAAAAAGGGACATAGGAAGACGCCAAAAAGTGTGTTCCAAAATCTTCACCAGCAGACTAACAACACAAAAGAATAGAAAAGAAAAGAATGAATTTAGAACTGAGAAAGATAAAACAATAATCTAATATTTTCATCAAGAGACAACTTTCGTCTGTCATCTTCTCCATTGCTGGCCCTACACCAAATAACTTTACAATCAGTTTCTACTTCCATGCCACAGCAATCTGATGGTAATACGGATTTGAATTTTATTAGGAGGCTCTGTGGTGGGAGATGGCAATAGTAAAGCTGGGCTAACCCATCTAAAGTTTGCATATTGTATAATTGCTTGAAGACTTGTATATGTAAGTCCCTAATACTTAA